GTCTGAACCTATTTAAAAACTAACAATAAAGCCTAGCTTACTAAGCATAAAATCATGTAAGAGATACACATAATGCTATTACCATTAATTCGCTCGACTTTTATGAGCTTAGCTTTTAAGAACTCAAGCTCATAAATTAAATTTTCTTAACTTTTTTTAAGTCTGACTTTTATTAATAGGATTTAGGGCTAAGTTTGAAACTCATATAATTTTTAATTTTTTAAATTAAAAAATTTTAATTATACTAATATATATATATATATATATTACAAAACACCTTAATTAAATATCTAAAAGATAATAATAAAATTTAAAGTATAATTAAAATAATACTAACCTTAGAATATAATATAAGCTGTATAATTCCTAACTTTCTATCATCTAAAATGTAAATATAATATTAAAATACCTTGATAGAAATGTATTTATAACTAAAACTGTTAATATGATTTGAAATTAATTAGTTGTAATTTAACATATATTCAAAATTTAATTGAAATATTTTTTATTTTGATATGAATCATAGAATTACATCCTAAAACTGTTATTGGTGACTTTAAAAAATTTATATAATATTGCATGCATAAAATAAAAATTTATAAATGAAAAAATCCATTTATATATATAATAAAATAAATAAATTCAATTATTAAAAATATATCTTAATAAAATAATTTTTTCCAAAAAATTTAATTTTAAAACAATAATTCTTGTTTAAAAATAAAATAAAAAAATTAAATTGAAAATACTTTTGAAAAGCATGGTTAAAAAATAATTAAATTTAAAAATACTATGTTGTAATATCTAATACAACAAATATATATAATATAAATAAAATATTTAAATTTTTTAAAAAAATTTAATTGATTAAAATTAATATTTATATTTAAATTTATTTTAATTATATAATATATTTATGTATTTTATAAAAAAATCCAATTTATATATTTTTTGTATCCATTTAAATTGTTTAAAATAAATAAATTTATATATTTTATTATTTTATTTTTCAAACCGCACCCGTCAAAATATAACTAAAATTCAATTTTATTATTGTATAAAAATAAAAAATAATTTAATTAATTCATTTTAAATTGTTCAATTTGAAATTCAAATAGATAAATATAGTTAAAATAAAATAAAAATAAATAAAAATGGTATGTCATCCCAAACCTAACTTCACACCCCAAATCTATCAAATGAATTGGTTTAAAAGGATAAATAATTCTTTCAAACTTATTTATTAAACATATTAAATAAACAATTTATTATTTTCAAAAACTTGACATATTGAACAAAGTTGTCATTACTTTACTTTTTAGTTATCTTAAACTAATTCTGTATATCATATGAGATAGTTGAAAACTTGTTATATAAAATAAGATTATTTAATATATATATATATATATATACACACACACAATCTTTATATATTAAATAATATTAGATAATCCACAATTAAAGTTTTTGAATTGATGCTAAAGAATTAAGATAGGGAATTATTTTAAACGTGCTAAATAGAGTTTTCAAAGAATAAATTTAGAAAATTTAAATACATAACAAGTAAGTAATTATCATTTGTTGTCTCTCTGTCTGTATGTTCTGAAATGTTAACAAAATTAAACTCAAAATGATGGATGGATGGAATCCACCTCAAAATACAATTTCACATAAAAAACATGAAGCTAATCTTGTAAGGATAATCTATTGTCCGATATGATCAGGAGCATTGAAAGACATGCAACATATCTCTAGAATATCTCATAAAAGGCTTCCGAATGACTACAAAGATTTGGCTACCTTATAGTAATATTGTCCTATAAATAAGATAAGTATTATATATTGAATGTAATTGATGAGATCCAAATTATAAAAACAAATACAAAAACATAAACACTTATCAAACATCCTAGAAGATCAATTCAATACCCGTTAGATTTTTTGAATATATTTCTACTTAGCAATCACTAAATATGAATTATCCTAACCACAATGTGTCAATCCTTTTTTTTTTTTTTTTGTTATATTAATGATGCGAATTGCATGCATCTTAAATATAAAAGCCATTGATAGTATAAATAATAGTTGAGAGGAGATTAAACCAAATGTGATTAGAAGTGAGACAGATGTGAAGGTGTAAAATATGCTATTGGCCTAATCTAATAATTTATAATTGAATAAGGTTGAATTGAGAGAGAAAATTAAAGGGTAATTTTTAAAAATAAGGATAATAGATATTAAATATTTATTTTGGTGAGTATAAATATTTAATGTATTTGAATGTATTTGAATTTTAACAAACTTCATGAGAGCCTTTTCAACATATTAGTATTATTCAAAATTTATATTAAATAGATTAATATCTATACTTTATCATATTTATGATTCTCTAAAATCATGATGATAACTAAACATTCAAATACATATTTCTTTTTCTAAATATTTAAACAGATAAATATTAGTTTAAATTTGAATACCAATATATTTGCATATACATACTCGATCATATGAAGTTATGAACCTAAATTTTTGATGGTAGATATTAATTTGAATTTAAATATGATGAGATTTGAATTTCAAATAGGTAAAAAATAATTTTTATATATATCTAAAAACTAGTAAGTCATCCTACATCTAACTCCAAACCTAAATAACATATTTTATGTACATTGAAAATAATAATTAGCCCAAACCTAACTCCAAACTAACTCCAGAGCACAAAAACGCAGGAAAGACATCCTGAAGCATTGAATTACAGCAAACATAAAAATGGATACATAACATTTTCTCGTAGCCTTTAACCTTACTTATATATAGATATATAATGATGGAGTGTTAATATCAATTGTCAAAATGATGGCCGTAGCAATTGACCTTTTATTGATTTTAGGTTAAAATATATTTTTATTACTCTAACTTTATAAAATATTTTAATTTGATCATTTAATTATATAAAGTATCTTTTTAGTCTTTTAATCTTAATATCATTAGTTTTAAATGATTATTTTTGTGTCAATCATTATTATATATTTAAAAAAATTAAACTTAATATATCAACATTTAAGAATGTTTTGTCACTATTTAAAAGTTTAATATAAAAATTTATTTAGATAAAACTAATAGTGTTAGAGTTAAAATATCAAAAAATATTGAGAAAATTTGCTCAATGGCTTCAAAAAATACAACTTTCATAAATTATGAAAGAAGTTTTTGAATATTTTGGAATATGGCCCATTCAAAAATAAATTAGATGTGTTTTTACTCCTTTGTCCTCAAATTCATTCAGTTATTTTTATTAAAATAGAATATAACTGATGTTATTTTTATCTAATTTTCTTTAATTTTATTTCTCCATCCAGACGGTTATTTTTACCATCTTCATCAGGGATCACAGAACATATTTTATCGTACAGTGCTTGCCTCTCTCTGTTTATCTTCTCTGTTTTTCTCAGACATTGTCATCACATTGAATAGGAAACTGCATTATCGAATAGAAATTGTCTTGTATTCATTTTTCTGGAGGTTGAAGAGAATCATCCATAATCGAATTTCTATCATCTTCGTATATTCAGGTAATATATCTATTGAATCAGTAAATCATCTGTTCTTAATCTATTTTTTATTGTCATTGATCATGCAATTTGCTTGAATTTCGAACACAAAACATATTATTTTCTCACTGTTCATGATTTTTTTTATTTCAGGTATTTGATTTTCTATGATCAGCTAAGGCGTCTATAATTTTTTTCAAACCTAGTTTAATCTGATTTGGGTGAAGGAATATGGCGTTTTTGTGTTTTTAATTAATGTTAGTATATCATTGATATACTATAGTATCTCATTGATGGCATTTTCGTGTTTCTAATTAATGTTAGTATATCATTAATATACTATAGTATCTCATTGATGGTGTTTTCGTGTTTCTAATTAATGTTAGTATATTATTGATATACTACAGTATCTCATTAATAAGTAATATTCGTGATAACTTACTAATACTATGTCATTTTGTAGATATAGGGATGTTTAATGTCATAATTTCTTATGATGAAAAATGAGATTTGAACAACCGTTACTTCGATACAAGATAGGGTGTTTTCAGCTCTGAATAACAGAGAAATCAAGAGGTCTAAGCATTTGATATACAGCCCTACATCAAGGATTCTGTGAAAATACTTGGTGAAGTAGGATGATTTTTCCTCTTTGGCACCATTGACAGAATATCTGCAAAATCTTTGGTTGAACTCTGGCTTGAGTAACACAGTGTCACTGGACTTCCTCACTTTGAAGCTGTAGCAGTAGTTGTTCCTCACCTTGGCAGCATTTTTGATTTTTGACATCGAATTTGTAGCAGCAAGTCTGCCTCGCTTCACCTTGCCTCGCGTTTGTGTGTTTTTCCAGATGAATGCAAAGCTTCAGTCTGCCTCACCTAGCATTTGTGTGGTGTCCTTGCTAAATCTCTGACTTCGTTTGTCCACTGGTGGCAGCTATTTCGTTGCTTGCTGTCAATTTCTTTGCCCACAGTCCAAACACATAGCACTGCCTCCAGGTCTTCGTGTGGTGCAAGCGAAATGCCGTCTCCAAGTCTCCAAGTTTTCGATTTGAGAAAGGCAATTAGGGTATTATAGTCTTTAAGTGTTATTTCGTCTTTTAGTTCTAAGGGAAATTAGCAGATCGGCCATTCTCTTAATTTAAGAAATGGTGGGTTATTAATTTTATTTAGTTATATAATATTGGCTAAATATGTTAAAGTCCCAAAAATATTTTGTAAAATTTAAAAATTAAAATAAAATATTATATAAAGTTAAATAATTGAATATATATCTTAACCTTGATTTTAATATTGGCCGAGTTGTCCTCACTATCGAGTCGCTCCAGATCGGTCGGCACTGGATCCGGATTCTTTGCTACTCTCTTTTTGGGACTGCGGAGGGGAGGGCATAATTTTTCTGCATTATGACTAATTTACCCATGTCAAATTTGATATTCCAAAAATACCCCTACCCAACTAAGACTTGTACTTCTTCATTTTCGATCGACCATGCTGCCGGTCCTCTTGCGCTCCCAATCGTGACATGTACCAGTGTCTGTCATCCCTGTCGCCACGCATTTTGCCGTCGCCATCGCCGTCCCAGCCGTCACCATTGCCACAGGTTTCAGTCGTTTCTTCATCACCTGTGTCTGTGTTAATTTTTCTTATTTTGCTGATGCTGCCTTTTATATCCGTCTCCTGCTACTGTGAGTATCATTGGGAGTATGATTTTCTTACTTATACTAAATATGCCGATTTGTTGGAGTAAGGTTGCTGAATGGTTATTTAGTCGGATAGCGACAATTTGCATTTCGGACTCTGTTGGCAGATTTTTCTGAAGTCCTTTGATTGTTTAGTCACTTTGTCGAACTACTCTGATTTTTTTGTTTGCCGGATTGATTATTCAGTTAAGAACTTTTTTGTTTTGCATTTTTGCAAGTTAATTGTTTCTTCATGTTTCCTTTCTCTCGAGTCTTGACGCCTCACTTTGCCTGTCTTCAAAAATATTGTACCAGGTTCCTTATATGCTGTCATTTTTAGTAATGGTATCATATATACCAATTGCACATTGACCAGGTTCCTAGAAATTCTTCATGTCACTTGCAAATTGATCTGTTTAGCTGGCAAGTTGAAAAAAAGAAAAAGAAAAAAAGAAAAACGGAAATTAACTCGTTCTGAACATTTTTCCAAACCTATGTGTCATTGTTATGTGGTAAATACAGTTTTATCTTATTGTTTAAGCTATGAAGTTTATGGACAATTTCTCGTCAGTATTTTCTCCAGTCTGGCTGCCATTTTTTACTTATTGTTTTATGTTCCCTGCTTGTCTCTTTTCCAAAAACTACTATGTATGATGAGGCTGCCGGGGTGGACTTATAAGAGATACAATTGCTAACCAAATGTGGATAGATTGGCAAAATCAACTTAGGAATAGAAGTTGATGTATTTCGTTGAGTTTGGACCTTGTTGTTCATGTATTCACTTGTAGCTTCTAATTGGTCTTCACGCTGGGAAAAAATTGGGAGATTATAGTTAATTATATATATCAACTATATAATTACGATTAGAGTTATATATTTTGGGATGAAAAGAGGAGATTATAGTTATATATTGTAATTATAATTTAGCTCCCATTATGCTTTTATCAGTATTTTTTTAAGCTTCACATGTATATTTTATTAACTATTTATAAAAGATAGGGGAAAAAATTATAAGATAAGGGTATAGTTGTCCATAATATAATTATTTTCCCTCCTGTCACCTTATGAACCAAACAAGGTAACATTAAAAATTAAAAACTCTTCCCTCTCCTTCCCTCCCCCGACCCAAACAAAGTGTTACATAATGTGGTTGGTTTTATGCAGTAAAAACCAGAACCTGAATTGCACTTTGTGTGGTTCGGGGAATGGAGGGATGTTAATGTTTAATATTATCTCATTTGGTTTAGGAGGAGAGGGGAGAGAAAATAATTTTATCATGAACAACTATGCCCTTATCTTATGAAAATTTCCCCCTATCTTTTATGAATAGTTAATAAAATATACATGTGAAGTTTAAAGAAACACTGACAAAAACATAATGTGAGCTAAATTATAATTATTTATAACTATAATCTCCTATTGTCATTAGAAAATATATAACTCTAATCGTAACTATATAGCTAATAAATACAAGTGAAATACATCAACAACAAAGTCCAAACTCAAAGGAATACATCAACTTCTATTCCTAAGTTGATTTTGATAATATTTACAGATGTGAAGTTTTTAATTTTGAAGAGAGGGCAAGAATAGAAATTTCCTAATGTACAAAAAGAGTGTGTATCAGAGAGCAGTAAGCCGCGGTCACTAGTTAAATCTTCATAGCTGGCGCAAGAGAACGGGTACTGTGATCACTGGTCAGGATGAATAGGTTTATTTGGGGAGGTGCATTTTTGGATTATGACAATGTAGTATGGGAAAAATAGTGTCACAATACAACAAAATTATACCCCTCCCCTCCATAGCCCCCCATTTTGGAGGGGAGGGTTTTTAAGGAACATTTTCCCTCCCCTCCCCTCCCCTCCCCTCCATTTTCAATACCCATACAAGGGAAGGGGAGCAAAATCCCTCCACTTCCCTTAAACCAAACATTAGAGAAAAAGGCAAATGGTGATGAAAATATAATAAAGATTTGAACTTTACCCTATTTTTTGTTTTATCATTATCATTAATCAATAATAGTTGCTGCTATGGTATTGGTAAGCTCCTCGTGTTTCCCACTAAGGCTTACAGAAAAGGCTAAAAAGGATTTTAAATTAGAGGCAAGAAAATTTAAACGGTTGGATTAAAAGAAATTAGTGGCTTTGTTCCCCATTCATTAATTTCATTAACATTATAAAACCATCAGATTAATCTATACCCATCTTAGGAGTTAAAATATATGTATATTTCCCCTAGTGAGGCTTATTTTTCTTTTTTACCCTTATTCTCTGCCTTGTAGTGGCCATCACCTCTGCTGCACACCCCCAGCTGCTCAACGTAGAATTCACGCTTGTCTCATACGTAAGGTAGTTGGTTTGATCTCTCCTTCATATTTTCTTCCTGTTATTGGCACTCTGACTCCTTCTCCATCTCCGTCTTTGTTAGCTTTTTCATTTTCTTTTTTGTTTTTTTTTACTCTTATGGCTTCAGTGAACGTGTAATGCTTGTTACTTTCTTTTTGCTATCTGATATTTATTTGACTTTTTTTTTAATCAGGATTTGCACTTGGATCGTTTGCATTTTTGCCTCAAGAGATCAGTACAGCTTCTTCAGGGTATATCTAATCCTGGTAGGTTTTTTGTCCCGTAAGTTTTGGATGCTAAAGTTGGGGTACATGGAAGTGAGAATAGGGTGAAAAAAAAAAAAAGACTCATTTGTCTGTTTTCTCTCTTTGACCATGAGATTGAGACTTTCCTCATATGTAATGAAACTAGGTTCACAGTTAGTTGATTGAAGTTTTGAAATACGTGTTTTCATGTAACATAATTGGATTGGTGTCTCCTGGTTGTTGATATTTATTTGAGGAATTGCTAAACAGCTTCTCTGTACCTAGTCTAAATTCAATTGTTGGCATGCAACTCTTTCAGATTTCAATTACACAACTTTAATTAGCTGCACATCTGGCTACCTCTGAGTTTAACAAGAGAAAAATTTGTGTAGGGCCACTTGAATTCACATAAAGTGGCAAATACATTTATACATGTGCTGTTGGATTATGCTTATGTGACATTTCATTGGTCCTGCATGATTGTGTAATATTAAATGTTGTGAATCATAGACTAACTATTGGTCAATTTTTGGACAATGTTGTTTGATAAAAAGTGGTTTCTTAGATTTATGTCTAATTTGGTTACTTGATTTTTGATAGAGCTTGCAACAAATATCAATGGCTTACAGACGCTGTCTCTTGATAAGAGGAAAACTCATTGATCAGAAATGCCACCCATCTTTAAGTTATCTGCTCCATAGTGATGAACGTAAACGTGAATGTCCAGATGGAAAATTACCTGCAGCAGAAGTTGGTCATCTTCTCCAGAATAGGTCATTTGGCAGCTCTATAAATGTATCACCAGGGTTTGCTGCCACTTCTCAGCTTGCCATAAATTCAAATAGTTTCCTTGTCCCATGCTCTGGATATTCTTTTTGCCGATATATGTCTACAATCAATCAGGGTTCTAATGATATTGAGTTCACGAGTGATGTAGCAAATATCCTAACAGACACAACCATGGAGGCTGTTGCTTCCCAGGCTCCTGTACTTAATGAAGTTGCAATAGCTTCTGCTGATTCGTATTTACCTGTTCAAGCTTTGCAGTATTTCATAGATTATGTGCATACCTACACTGGATTAAACTGGTGAGTTTATACATACCTTGTCCCGGTACTTTCCAGAAGATATATCATAAGAAAATAAAATCTTGAGCATTGCAAAATAAGATTGAAGCTAAGGAACCACATAATTAAACTAAGAAAGCCATGGGAAGATATCTTGTTGTATAAGGCCCTGAGAAGTTGTTGCTTATCTTACAAACCAATCTGCATGGATGTGAAGGATTTTCTGGCACACGTGTGCTTTGCATGTGCTTTTTGATTTCAGGGATTATGGGTCTGAATCAACATATCCTTTTGCTTTTTAAATAACTTGTTTGGTTCATATCGATCCATAGCTGTTATTTGTCCAAATACCAACTTTTATTGGATACCATCGATCAGCCCAAAGAATACTCTCATTAAAGATATTACATTTAAAGACTCTTTTTAAATGATTTGGGGATTTCCAGCTTGATATGGAGAGCACTATTTAATTGGGAGTGAATTCTATGATTGAGAACAAAGGAGAATTTGAATTTTCAGCTATTCTCTTGGCTGCTTAATTTCATTTTATGTTAACGTGATTGTTCTTTTGCTCATTTATTTTATAGAACATGATGAATATTCTGGGTTGATATTCCAATTTTCTTTATTCATGTTCGATAAGGGATTTGGCACACTAAAATTTTGTAACAAAACATTTTACTGTATTACTTCTTTCTTTCAGGTGGGCAGCTATTGCTCTAACAACCCTCCTTATTCGAGGTGCAACACTCCCACTCTTAATAAATCAACTCAAGGCCACCAGTAAGCTTACTGTATGTTGCACTGCCTATTACCATGCTCTTGTTTCTTGCAGAATCTAAGTGAAGAAACAACAATTACTTCCCTTGTTCCTTCCCTTTATTTTCCCCAAATTTAGAATTGACAAAAATTTGATGGGAATTGGCCCTTGGCCCTCCATTATTCCCTTTCTCAATTTTTCCTTATTAATTAAGACCGCCCAACAAGGGTTAGACTGTACAGAGAAAATTCCCTTTCTTCCTTCTCCATCCCATCTTTCTCCTTATTCTAAAAAGGCCCTTAAGGTCTTTTCCGTGGTTGCATTCATATTTGTTTTCTACTTTTAATTTTGTGTAGTTATAAATCTTGGCACCTAATTATGCTGTGTCATGTGCTCAGCTAATGAGGCCTCACTTGGAGGAAATTAAGCAAGAGATGCAAGATAAGGTAACTGTTTTATATGTCATAAAGTCATTTTTCTTGATTAGCGGTAATAGTTGCTATTACTAAACTGGTAGTAGTGGAAGCAATGCAGCTGACCCTGTTATGCAAGTATCAATGCTGCTGTGCCAAGAAAAGTTGTATTGCCATGATCCTATATTTGAAAGTTGTATTCTCTGACATTCTAAATTAGACCCATTTAACCAGTCTCTATTTGCTGTGTAAAAATGTGGTTATTCAATTTCAAGGGAAATACAGTCTAGAAGATTTTGTAAATACAATGCACAACGGGTACCAACCTGAAATATAATGCCTCTTGGGTAAACTTGTAAAATTTTTGTCTAAATATTGTTCTCTTGTTTGTTGCAAGTGTTCTCTTATATCCATTTTGTTGGATACATGTATTAGATGCTACCAAGTGTTTTTCTTCTTAACAAAAGCTTCTCTAAGTACAATAACATTCTTATTTAGGGAGATACAGTCCAGAACCTGTTGTAAATACAATTTGCAATGGGCCCAACCTGAAATATGACTCCTCTTTGTGAATTTTATAATATTTTTGTCTAAATTTTGTTCACCTTTAAGTTGCAAGTGTTCTTTGACTGGGGGGAAAAAGTTGCAAGTTTTCTCTTATCCATATCCTTCTTGTTGGATACATGTTCTAGATGCTACTAAATGTTTCTCTGAAAGAAATGCTTCTCTAAGGACAATAACATTCATTGTTTAGGCTATGGATCCCATGGCTGTTGCTGAAGGTCAAAAGAAGATGAAGAAGCTGTTCAATGAGTAAGTAGTTTCTGGTCTTACGTTAAGGAGCATCTTTGGTAGTTGGCATTGTTTTTATGGTAATTTTCATGCCATGATTGAACCATGCAATCTGTTATCTTATGTAATTTTCATTTTCATGATATATTGTTTTGTTGAAACAATCTTTGTGACGGTTACTGAAGCTGAAATCAACAAATAGTCTAGACACGATTGGAGAGAAGAACCGAAAATAGTGAGAGAATCAGAGAGATTGAGAGTAATAGAGAGACAAGAGGAATTTGGAATAATATGCAAATCTGATTGTTGACTTAGCATGAGAGATTACAATAGGGTTATAGGTATTTATAGGCTCTTAATCCTCATAACTACCCCATGGCTATTTCCCACAACTAACAGTAACTAATATAACAGTAACTAACATTTATTTCAATATTACAATTACATAACAATACCCCTTCCCAAAAGACCTTTGCCCTCAAAGGTCATGTATAGCAATTTGAGGGAACTTTTGCTGAAATAATGAAAAGAGAGCATGAAACTCCCAATGTTGTTAAAGGCGAAAGGCGCACTCAAGGCACAAAGCTTGTAAAATGCCTTAGGCGCAAGGCATTAGAAATGTGCGCCCCTGAATGGAGCAAGGTGTTGCCATAAGAAAATGCAAGATATGTAAACAACTGACTAGATAAAATGACAAATATAAATTCACTTAAATCTTCATATAAAACTGTGTTCTCTATCATATTTAAAAATTCAATAAAAAATAATTTCTTATAATAAATTAAAATCTTTTCTATTCTGTAATTGTTTTCTCTTATTTAAAATTTAAATCTTTCTTTTTTTTTTGTGTGATGTAAGTTTCCTTTTTTTTTTTATATCATATAATAACTTTCTATATTTTATATCATATTTTAATATGTTGTTTATCAAAATATGATATAAAATATAGAAATACCCACTACCCCTTCACGATCATGAGTCATGAGTAAATGGATGAATCTTCCTCTCTTCCATTTTTATAAAAATTGTGACTTATGACTTTGCAATGCCTAATTGGCTACCAATAGCCAGATGGTGGATGAATCATCTTCTTCTCTTCTATACCCAGTTGACATTGTCCTATTTCGTTGTCTTCTCTTCTGCAATACCCAATCCCAGTCATCATCTTCTCTTCTCTACTGCTTTGAGGCGCTATCAAGCGAGCGCCTTTTGGCCATGCAAAGCGCACAAGGCGCTCTCAGGCAAGCGCTTGACTAAACCCATTGCCTCTCAATGAAGAGAGGTGATGACCATGCTCAGAGCCTCGCCTTTGCGCCTTTAACAACGCTGGAAACTCCTGGAATTTACTGTTCACTATTCACTGTCACTGTTCAATGCTTGAATAAGTGAAAGAAACTCATTCAGACTTCATCCCAACGGCATTTTGATCAATTTTCCTTCGCACCACATCAAAACTAGGTAAGGAGAAACTGAATGAATAAAGCCCAGCAAATATTTTCCTGCATTATTGGGCTCATGCAAATGATATTGGCCTTGTTCTTTGACCTATGAGCCCATATGCAAAGAGTGGATGATAGCTGGCACCCACTAAGACTGCAAAAACAATAACCATTTGAAATAGAGGATATCTGTCTTTGACCTATGCTCCCACTTGTGCAATACTCCTTCCAACCTAACACTTGTCCATATGCCCAGTCATGAGAGACCTTAGCCATGCTGCTTCAATTTTTGTCCTTTTCCTTCTTTCTTTTTTTAGTAGTTGGTACCACCTTTACGGGTTCTACCAGAAGAGATGGGTGCTTTTGACTTTTCAACACTTAAGGCACATTCCCACGTGATCTTTTGAGCAGGGAAAAAAGAAAACTCACCCAGAATAACATAGACACATGGTATTTCAAGAAAAAGAAGCAGACAATAAAGGAAGGTATCTGGCTTACAAAGAGTTAGGCATCCCTGAGAAGAAAGCCAAACACAAGATCATCATTGTTCAGTTTAATCGATTAATCCTTCAATTCTTTTTTCCCCCTTTGCGAATGTGTTCTCAAATTTTGCCGTCTTTGGTTGCTGTTTGTTGGTAGCTTGCTTGTTAGTCATTGCTTGGTATGTAGCACAAGTTAGGCTGTTGATATCTTTGTAATGAATCTGGATTGTGGATATTTGGGGGGCAATGTTCTCCGAATGCTTGACGGAGGATGGATCCCTTTTGATTGATATAATGGATGATATTGGAAATGTTTCATAAAGCCAATTTGACGTACTTAAGGTTAATGCTATGCAAGAAGTCTAGCAACCTCCAGCAATGGTGGATTTGAAGATCTCTTACCCTCCATGTTAGCACCAGTCATAGTCATTCTTGATACTTGGCGAGGAGACTAAGAATTAATGTTGAAAACTAACGAAGCTTGGAGCTATTTAATGGTTTGGGCACTCTTGCCCCTACTAACATCACTCTATGGGCTAGCACCTCTCTTCACTTAAGGATATTGGGTGTCTTTGGAGGAAAAGTTAGTGGGTATTTTTGCCCCTTCGCCCTATCAAATTAGAGGTGTAGAGGCTGAGTACCGGCTCCAGCACCCACGTTCGCACTATTCTTGATAGATGCCTTCTTCTCAGCTTGCCCTTGCAACGTAATCTCTTGTATCTGTGCCAAACTTCTCGCTTCTTGCATTGTTCTTGGTTTAAAGAGACATACTTGATCAGCATAGTCTTCACGCAAGCCTCTAATATATGCATCCACCAAATAATCTAGTGTAAGTTGCCTCTTGCAAGAAATGGAATCAAAGGAGTTGTTGTAGTCTTTTAAAGTCCCTTGTTGCTGTAACCTCATTAAGTTACCCGTGGGTGCTTTAATGCTCCCTTGAGATTATCACCTTCTAAAACCCAAAGCATTCTTTAATGCTCCGTTGAGATTATCACCTTCTTCTCGCTCCCTCATCGGCATTTGAATCTGATTAGACAACTCAATAACCTGATCGGTGAGATTATCAACTGCTGTGATCTGTTGTTCGATTCTGTCCAGCCTTATTTGCATTGCTTTCTGAGGGTTTTTTGGCCTTGGGTCTTCACCATAAACTGTCGGAATGAAGGAAAGAAGAGAAAAGAGAAGAGAAGAAAAGAAAAGAAGGCCAAGGAATGCCTGGCTTTGATGCCACTGTTATGGTAGAATAATATTGGAAGAGAGAGAAATTGAGAGGATTGGAGAGAAGAATAGGAGTTATTTGTGACCGTAAGGTGCCTAATAAACTTAAAGGAAAGTTTTATCGTACTGCTATCAGACCGGCAATGTTATATAGTAGTGAATGCTGGGCTCTAACGGGACAGCAAGAGCATAAAGTTGGAGTAGCAGAGATGAGAATGTTACGATGGATGTGCGGACATACACGTAAAGATAAAATTCGAAATGAGTACATACGTGAAAAAGTGAGGGTGGCACCTATTGAGGAAAAAATGGTAGAAAATCGGTTGAGATGGTTTGGGCATGTACAAAGAAGACCAAGGGAGGCACCAGTGAGAAGAGTGGAACATATAACTTTGAGTCCGATTAAGAGAGGTAGAGGAAGGCCTAAGAGAACACTCTTGGAAGTTGTTGAACGTGATCTCTTAATTAATAATATTTCTAAAAGCTTAATAAATGATAGAGCACAATGGCGTCTTGCAATCCATGTAGCCGACCCCACCTAGTGGGATAAAGGCTTGTTGTTGTTGTTGTTGTTGGAGAGAAGAATAGGAAAGAATGAGAGAATGAGAGAGATTGAGGGGAATGGAGAGGCGAGGAATTCTGAATAATATGCAAATATGGTTGATGACTTAGCATGAGAGATCACAATAGGGTCATGGGTATTTATAGGCTCTTAATCCTCAAAACTACCAAATGGCTATTTCCCACAACTAACCTAACTAACAATAACTAATATAACAGTAACTAACATTTATTTTAATATTACAATTACATAACATAAAGAGTCTTTGGCCATGCACACGGATTTGAGATTTAAAAGTTGGCTTTCAAATAGCTGTGTGATCATTGAGTTTGTGGAAGAATACTTGTTATAAGTAAACATTAGAGAGCTGGTCTATGGCATATTGGAACTGGCATTTGTTGCATAAACCAAAACTAATGGATGCTCTGTTTCACCATGCCTCTTTGATCTTTGTGATTTTGGTGGTGCAGATATGGTGTGAGTCCATTTACTCCATTGAAAGGACTCTTTATTCAAGGTCCTATCTTTGTCAGCTTTTTCCTTGCGGTAAGACACTTTTCAAGTTCATTTCTACCTATTAAATTTAAATTTTTGAGTTTGAATCTAGTAATTATTTCTTACCTTTTTTATCCTTGTATTATTTGCTAGATAACAAACATGGCTGAGAAAATGCCATCATTCAAAAATGGTGGAGCCTACTGGTTCCTTGATCTCTCAACACCGGATAGCTTGTACATTCTGCCAATTCTCACAGCATTGTCATTCTTAATAACAGTAGAGGTGGGCATTTTCTCTATGGAAATTTGTTTTTCAGCTTTATCTCAATTCTCTTTCTAGATTTGTCTTCTTTTTTCTTGCCTTAATGTTTTGATTGTACTCATTTTCTCTTCTCCTTTGAAATTTATCTTGTAAATTTACTGTGTAAGAGGAGGTTAAAAAGGTAATGTAACATAGAAACCATAATGTTAAAGCTTATTTGAAACATACACATCCAAATTTATCTTATTCTATGTGAACTTTTGGGATTGGGACAAATCCAAAGGATAATACTTCACATCCAAGCAAAAAAAAAAAAAAAAGGCTGAAGAAAATAGAGTTTTGTAGGAATGACCTGTTCAATTTTCCTCTATATTTGTTTTCATATTTTTCACTATGACCTATTAGGGTCTTGTTACTGTAAAATAACTTGATAAGAGCAGTGTTTTCTGTTATTTTTTTAATCCATATTTATAATTGTTATTTTCACTTATTATTCTATAGTGCAATATGCAAGAGGGTATGGAAGGAAATCCTGTTGCTGGCACCATGAAAAATGTCTCTAGGGTTCTTGCTGTTCTCACCGTTCCTTTTACCATGGGATTTCCGAAGGTAAACTCTTCCAGCTTAGCCTTACTTGAGGGGAATACATTCCCTTTGCTCCAACCTCTGCACTTCAAATAATTGCAGCTCTGTATTTTTTAGTTCCACTAAAGTTGGTTTCATTTGATGTATTTAGCTTTTCTGTAATTAAATTATAAAGGCAAACTTTTTATGGGGCATAAAGTCTATTTATGATTTCAGCCTATAGAATAGGACCAATAACATAATAGTTTTAGATTTTCAGAAAAGGCAAGTGACTAATGGCAAATGACATATAATAGTCACTTTTTCTATATGTTATAATTATTGGTTATCCTGTGTTCGAAAAGAAATGAAAAACATATTCTTGTCTGTAAATGTCTATTCAAAGCTTCTTCTCACAATCTTTCTCGATCTTTCTCCTTTGTCTCCACTAATGACAGATAGTGGGGGGATTTATCTTTACTTTGCTTCATCATCTGTATGCAGTCTCACATGTCATTTGTGTAATTGTGCAGGCTATATTTTGTTACTGGGTTACATCAAATTTGTTTTCACTGGTGTACGGACTTGGTAAGGCACTATAGGTTCTTGTCTTCTTGATATAAGCAGAATTGTTTTATTAACACTATTTTGGACATGCATGCTTAATCATTGTCTTGTAAGGCATATACTTGGATTTCGTTTTCATGGGTAATTAAATTGGACGGTGACTTTCAGCTATTGGTCAGTTGAGATCTTCCTATGGTCTCTATTGTGGGGTCTCTGTTGAATTTAAGAAATGTTGAGCTTAGTTCAACTTTTTGTCAGTTGTTTCATTATTTTGTAGATTTCATTGTTAGTGGCTTCCTTACGAGCACATTTTTAGGTCACAGTTTGTAATCCTTTAAGAAAATTGATCCTTCTGAACCAAGACCTATTTTCTGGTACTCCTGCCAAGTTTAATCCCCCCAGCATTTTTTTGAGTACTGTTTAATCCACTGCTATCATAATTGGGGGTGGTCATTTGGCCTCAATTCTGTTTTTAGAGGAATGTTAATTCTAGTGAAGCGCCAAGACGGTCTAAAATTTCAATAAAGGACCTTAGGTCCTTAAGTGGGCAAAATTTAAGAGTTGAATTACTTAAATGCCCTTGTAATTTACTCCCCCTAATAACATAAAATCGTTTGGCCAGTTGTTTGACACTTTGTCTTCCTAGATTCGCAATTTTTTTAGAAAATAATTTGCAGCTGACCTTGTTCCTTTTAAGATGAGTCACTGCAAATTTAATTGGTAAATTCTTTTCAATTGTGCAATTAGTCAAGTTCTTTTGAAATCATTTCACATAATGAATGAGATAAAATCCCATGTTCTGTGTATGGATTTTGCAGGGCTTAAAGTTCCTGGCGTTAAAAAAGCATTAGGCGTTCCAGAAATACCTGCTGCTGCACCCACCAATAACACATCACAATCTCCATTCTCTTTCTTTCCAGCACTAAAGAAAGACTCATCTGCGACAACAGAATCAAACTCAGCGCCAGTTGAACAATCGAAGTTTCCAGGTCAGAAGATATCTTCTTCATCTATCATTAGTCAGAGGCTTCGAAGTTTAGAGAAACAAGTCAAAGGAAGAAAGAAGAGCAAGAAGCTCTGAGCAAGAGTTTCACCTGCCACTGAATGTGGCTATGATTTGATTTTGTAATATTTATTATCCTCTGATGTAGCAATTATGAATTATTATATATTAGTTCGATTAAGAGAGACTAGGCAATTAATCCTATTAATTTATGATTATATGCGATTTCCTGAGGGAAATTTTTGTTCTGGATTTGTTTTTTGGGAATAGGTTGCTGTGAAAAAGGCAGCCTTGATATATGTATTCATACTGATTCATCATGGCGTCGAATGTTTGTTCCTGGGAAACGCTCGAGTTTTCAAATATTAGAACTTCTTGTGCTACGGATATACAAAACACAATTTTGTTCGGTGTCCTACCGTATGTGATAACGGGTTACAAGAGCAAGAATTATTTTTACTTTCAACTTTAAATTCATGTCATTTTTTCCATCCAAGGACCTTGGTGAACAATGGATGTACTCTTGTGGTTTAGGTAAATGTGAATCCTAGATGCAAGAGAAAATACGGGCACTTCCTTCACCTAAGCTTCTTATAGTTGACAAGTCTCATTGCTTGGATATAGACGTAGAAAGACCAGCACAATTGAATTTCTATAAAGATGCTGTGGACTATTCCTTAGTCCTAAAAGTCTGGACCATTGCTTTTCAGGACTTAACAATGGGTTATTTTTAGTTGCCATTAAGCTGGACCCCAGAGTTGAGTGGAGAAAACTTGATACAAAAGAGGCTTAAAGTTTTTTTTTTTTTTTGAAAAAAATAATCAAGAATTGAATCTTTCTAAAATCTAATTTCATTTTTAAACCTTTTTACGAGAACTCCCTTCAAAGCATAATATAAGATATTTTTTAAAAAGTTTATCTAATTTAAAATATAAGACATTTAATAACTTTTATATTTATTTTTTCAACTATATCTCTATTTCATTTATTACTCTTTTTAAAAAAATTATGGTTGAAATTTTAATTACTATTATTAAGGCTCTTATATAGAGTATTTAATGAAAGTATAAATAAAAAATAGAGACATTTAAGAATTTAAGATTTCAACTAACATTATTTATAAATTATGAATTAGTTAGCCATGATTTATATTGTGATCCAGAGAGAGTATATTACTTTTTATGTCCCAAATTATATTACACTTTTACACAAAATCACACATCAATAAAACTGATTAAATATATTTTATAATTTTAATTTTTTAAAATAAAAATATAAACTTTCAAAGCCTTTTATTTAATACTTCATTTATGAAAAAGAAAATTAAAGAGAGAATATATTGTGTGAAGGGTAATATTAAAAAAAATCATTAATGAAATCTTACTTTTGTTAAAATGTCTTATATTTTGAGACGTTAAATATTCTTTAAAAGTGTCTTATAATTTGAAACAGAGAAAATATTTTTGTGACTGTTTTCTAAGAAGATGTTGATAATTATAGGTATAAATTTAAATACTTCTAAACTTACTCATACTTGATTTAACAAAGACGGCAAGATCCACATATTTTTTTATAAATTATAAAATTATAATTTATAATGTTAATTTATGGCCCCGCGTGTGTGTGTATGTGTGTGTGTGTGTGTGTGTTTTTTTTTAAGGATTACAAAGGCAAGTAAGAGCTTGAGAAACTAAAAATTAAGAACTAGCCTAAAAACTACCAAAAGAAAATAAGGAACACACTTAACTAACATATTGCTTATCTTCTAAATATATTTCCCCAAGCATTCTGGAGGAATGAGTTATTTTATTAACAGCTAGATATATTGTGAATTTATTTCTTTTACATTCACGTGCGCACGCACACATATGTATAATGTATTTAATATTATTATTTAATTTAATTATTTAGTCTTTATCAAGCCATAAAAATCAAGACTTGCTAACTTTTTTGTCTTCACTTCCAGCTTGACTTTTAAAACATTTAAACGTTGGTCTGGACGAAATTGTTCCATTTGAGTACTGATGCATACAAAATGTTTTACTATGAGTGTACGAGTTAATATATAATATAATAATATGTCAATCCTATAAAGAATTAAACAAAATAGCAACTAGGTAATAAAATTTTTAATTTTATTTACATTAAGCAAAATTAATTAGAATTGATTGATAAACCAAAATTAAAAATTAAAATGAATAAAATGTAATGAAAATCTCAATCCAACAACTGCATATGACTAGAATAATTTAGAGTTACTAATTCCTTTTTAGTTTTAAAGATCTTGCTTTTATCTAATTAATAAATTTTAATGCTAATTTTGTTAATTTAGAGTATTGATAGCTATAAGGGCCTTTCGAACCTCAAATAGTCCTCTCCCAAATTGATTATGTTATTTAAAAAGAAAATTAAGAGGCAACTTCAATTCCAGCTATATGGGGCGCTTAGATATATTTCTATTCTAATCACAAATTAGATAATAATCTAATCTCATATTACTCAATCTAATGGTCTAAATAAAATTTTTTTTATTAAGAAAAAAACCCGAAATACCCATATTCATATTTGATGGTGGCCAAATATCAAGTAGATAATTATATGTAAGATTGGGCAGTAAAAACATGTTCTAATCCACCAAATTCATAGTTATTCTAAGTCAGAAATTTCTAGCCACTAACAACCATGAAATTAACAAAAATCAACAGATTATACATCTAAACGAGAAAAAAAGGAAGAAGGAAGCTTAGGAGTGATGATTTTTTTCACAAATTGCAAGATATCCAAGAGTTTCCCAAGCTTCTTCAACTCTTTCTCCACCTCAGAATGCTCCCTACAAGTGCAACTATTGGTTTAAGATGAACTGGAAAGAACAATGGTCCTCAGAAATCCTTAAAATCAAAATTAAGTGAAATTATGCATTTTGTAAAAAACTAATATATTGTCACAACATCCAATTTGATGTTGTATCATCATTGGGTAAAACTCAAATTTGCCGTGGGCTTTAAAATTGACAAATTTGGGCCCATAAATTGGGATACCTTATATAAATAAAACTTAAATTTAATGTCATAATTAATCTAATAACTTATAGGACGAATTTCAAATAAGGATCATAAATGTAATTTAATTATTAGTAAGTCCCAAAAAAATTTTGAAACTTCAATTTAGTTTAGGAGTATTGAAGTGAAAATAATTTTAATGGTAAAAAGATCAAAGTACTCTTCACTTGTTAATTTTGTTTGAGATGCATAATTATTAGTTGTTAATTTTTTTACTTCACTCATTAATTTACCAATATGAGTTATAAATTATATCAGTTTGTCAAACAAGCAGCAACATTAATTGTTAATTTATTAAGTTTTTATTAATTTACTAACATTAGTTGTAAATTACAAGACCCGCCGGTACGTAAAGTTAACAATTTAATAACTGATGTTGTTGCTCGTGATTGAATAATTAATGATGAGTCAATTCATGCAATTTACAATTTATACTGGTAAATTAATAAATAAAATAAAAAAATTAACAACTAATGATGCTGCATCTCAGATAAATTTAATAAGTGAAGGATATTTTAAACTTTTTATAGTTAACATTATTTTCATTTTGAACAAAAATTTTATATTTTTTGAGGCCCATTAGCAATTAAGTTACATCCTTGATTCTAAATTGAAATTCCCCCTAGATTTTACAATTATCTTGAAACTTATCCACATCCATTCTAAAAAATAATAATCTATTTCATCATAAATTTTTTAATTAATTTTACAAGATGACTTTCAATTATATCAAAAACTCTAATAAATTTATTAAAATATTTAAAGTGATCAAGAAATTACATATTTTCAAAAAACCCCACTTCATGACTATTATGCCAACACCCCCCAATTTTAAATTTTAATGTTTGACTTTCATGGTCTTTGAATATGCCAGTTTTTCTTTAGGCTGATATGAGACGTGCAAGTTAAAGTTGGGTTGATGTTACTCTGACACGTGACTTGGGTCGGGTCCACTGATTTAACTTAATACGAAAAAAAAAAAGTTGTGCTTTATTCAAGCATACATGATTAGTTTATTTAAGTGACTATATGTTTTTTTTTTGGTCTAAAATTGAGAGTTTTTTTTTATTAATCAAAGTCCGATATCAATGGGGCTATTTTTCTTTTAAAAGAAAATGTATTAAAATTAGACAGAAATATGGAACTTTAGAAGGAAACAAAAGTTTGGGATAAACACGCAATATGCCAAAGGTATTGTTCAACTTGATAATTGATACTATCATATTATGCTATTCCAGACATATATGCATGTGTTTGTCCTCGTTAACCGGATACATTCAACACGTAATGGACCTAAAAATATTAAGAGAAAATATCCAAAAAGATCATGGGATGAAATTTATATCAATTAATGATTACTTGTTATTAAAATTTAAATGAATACTTGTCGATTTGGATTAATTTTTTATCAATAAGTATCCATTCAGATTTTAACAGTAATTCATTTTAAATTAACAACAATCCTTTCGCACTTACTTTTCATTCAGATATTAACAATAATTGATTCTTGACTAACATAAATTTTCTTTAACAGTCTTTTATTGTTATTTTCCCAAAAATTAAATCATGGGGGCAAATTTTTTTTAAATATTAATTTTTTTAAAAGTATAATTTTAAATATTTATTAAATTAAATTATTAATTAACTATTTTTTCTTTTCATTCTTTTAAAAATATAATTTTAAATATTAATTACTTTTGTTTAGTACAGGATTTTTTGTGATAAATTTTTCATTTAAACAAATAATTTTTTTTAAAAAATTAGTATTTCTTTGTCCTCAAACTATATCATTATTTGAAATTATAACATATATGTTATATTTGAGTTAAATAAATTTTTAGGAAGATAAGTGAAACTTTCAAGGAAACAAATGATTTTTCGCCCTTCAAAAGGGGGCAAAGAATTTTTTTTCTGTCATTTTATATAAAAAATTTTCTTTCCCTGTGGGAGCATTTGCCTCCTCTAGCGATCCGTCCCTGTGTGGATGTTCTATCAGAAAATCTATGCACTTCATCCTCTAATATATTAGTGGTTAATTATATTGGAAAAACAACCCATTTGAAATTCAGTACTTGGGTCTAAGCTTCTAGGGTTGCTTGTCAACCTTTCCAATGTTCTTCGTTTTTTTTTTCAACCATTAATATCTATTTAGAGAAACGACATTTTCTGATTTTGTCACATTAGCACTTTGGAGTTTTCACCAGTCGCGTTTGAATTTGAAAGGACATATTCATAAATGAAGCTCAAAACATTATCAAATTTTGCTGCAGGTGTTTGACGTTATCATTTTATACATGGTTAATTACGGAATACAAACTGTTATGTTGCTATAGGGAATTATTCGGTTGAGATTTATGGAATACTTTATATTTATTAGGATATGATTGCCATTGTTATGTTTATCTATGTATTGTAAACATTTTATATTAATAAAGCATGGCACTTTTTCAGTCTCCTTTCTTTCTCTCGTGACTTCTTTCAATAACAAAATTTCATCCTCCACTACTACCATTGTTGTGGCACCATCACTAGCCACCAGAGCCACCGTTAGCAGCTGCCAGAGCTTTTACACTAAGGTGAGATTTGAATTCACAACCTCTTGATTCTCCAAAAGATATATGATGTATATAAACTAGACCTTGCATGTTATCTAAAATTTGAAAATAAAAAAAGAGCTAAATCAGGTGGCCTAAGCCTTTAACTTTTTTTTTTATAAATTATAAGTGGTGAGCCCCAAAAACCTTTTCATAATAAAAAAAAATCAATTTTCAAGGTCTGGACTTTTTTTTTAAAAAAGAGTTTAAATAGATAGTTTGGGGAGCTCAATCCGTATTCTCAACCTTCATTACTTAATGACCTAATCACCTTTTTAATCTTCTTAATTTTGATAAAATAATTGGAATTACCTTATAATAAGAATTGGAGGGATTATGTTAGAGAGAAACAAAAGAAAAGGTAATCAAGTATTATACGCAAGAAGGTTATTTTGCCTGCTGGAGATTAGTTATAATGCAAACATAACTGTCTACTTCAAGTAAACAAAATCGAAAGTTCTTTTGAAAAGTGATTGAGATCAAATATATCCTCCTTCAATTGGTAAGCACGTGCGTTTTCCAGTAAATTCCGGCGATCATTTAAGAAAACGTAGACAATAGGAGATATGTTTTGCTTATTACATTCTGGAGAAATAGTTCATTTACTATAACAAGTCATTCAAAATAAATGCAGCACCGAATTGTCAATATTAAAGGCTTTGAACTTCATTTCTTCTTCAATATCATCATCCCTGCGAAAAGTCAGAATAAAAGTCTTCAAAATATGTGCCAATTATTATTATTTTTTTTGTAAAAAAGTCTTCACAATCCCATTATAAAAGCCTTCAATGCCATTTTTTTCCCTCATCGTTTCAAACCAATATAGCAAACCATGGCCTCTATCTCGTCATCATCATCTCTCTCATTTTTATCCTCCGTTAACGCATCTTCTTCTCCTTCTTCCTTTTCTCCATCATTCTCTCAACGACGAACCTCAAGAAATACCAAACCAAAACGCTATCATGTTTCCAAAATCTCATGCAAAGCCATGCATAATGAACCAGAAAACCCTAAAAATATCTCCCAAGAAAATCAACAACTATCTCATGTTCTAGCTAACCGGAGGAATGTTGTCCTTGGCCTTGGAGGGCTTTACGGTGTCGCCGCCGCAAACCCTTTTGCCTTCGCAGCTCCGGTGTCCCCACCAGACCTAACCACCTGCGGCCCACCGGATCTACCATCTGGCGTGAAACCAACCAATTGTTGCCCACCAGTTTCGACAAAAATCATAGACTTCAAGCTCCCTTCCTCTAACCAACCCCTTAGGGTTAGACCGGCTGCTCACTTGGTCACCGCCGATCACCTAGCAAAGTATAAAAAAGCCACCGAGCTTATGAAAGCTCTACCTTCCGATGACCCGCGTAACTTCACTCAACAAGCTAACGTTCACTGTGCTTACTGTGACGGTGCGTATCACCAAGTAGGGTTCCCTGACCTCGACCTCCAAGTCCATAATTCTTGGCTCTTCTTTCCCTTTCATCGTTGGTACCTTTATTTCTACGAGAGAATCTTGGGGAGTTTGATCGGAGATCCCAGTTTTTCGTTGCCGTTCTGGAACTGGGATTCTCCCGGGGGAATGCAGCTTCCGGCCATTTACACAGATTCTGATTCATCTCTTTATGATGTTCTTCGTAGTGCTAAACACCAACCTCCCGCAATCACTGACCTTGACTTTAATCTCGAAGATGCTAATTCCACGTCTCAGAATACTGGTAATGATCGAAGCTTCGTCACCAGTAATCTCACCATCATGTATAGGCAAATGGTCTCCAACGCTAAAACTCCAAGGTAAGTTTTCTTACGTACGTACGTAGAATTTTATTTTTCAAATGTTTGAAAAAAAATATACGCGTAGATCTGATCACCTAGTTGACTTTAATTAGTCCAGTTTATTTATTTAATAAAAACCCTTGAATTATGCTAATGGCTAATCGTATTTTGTGAAAACGTTTAAAATTTTATATATATATATATATATATGAACGTTTCTCTAACCACCCTGAATATTTTGCCCTCAGTGTGAGGTCTTCCTTGTCTTCCCCATATTATTTTTCCATATCTAATACTATTTTTTTATTTTTATATACAGACTATTCTTCGGAAATGCCTACCGAGCAGGAGATGAGCCGGACCCCGGTGCTGGCTCGATCGAGAACATCCCTCACGGTCCGGTCCACTTATGGACCGGCGACAACAAGCAGCCAAACATCGAAGACATGGGGACCTTTTACTCAGCTGCCAGGGACCCCATTTTCTTCTGTCATCATTCCAACGTTGACAGAATGTGGAGCTTATGGAAAACCCTAGGAGGCAAGAGGAGAGAGATAACGGACCCAGACTGGTTAAACTCAGGCTTCCTCTTCTACGACGAGAACAAGAACCTCGTACACGTCAAAGTCAAGGATTGCCTCGACACAAGAAACCTAGGGTACGTCTATCAAGACGTCGACATTCCATGGTTGAAATCTAAGCCCACACCACGTCGTAGGCCTTCATCAAAAACTCAGAAGGTATCCCTGGTTCCTCAACTTTTCGGTGTTGGAGCAGCTCAAGCTGCTGAGACTTCTTCAAAATCTGCCAAGTTCCCTCTAGTTCTGGATTCTACAGTGAGTACTTTTGTGAAGAGGCCGAAGAAGGGGAGGAGCAAGAAGGAGAAGGAAGATCAGGAGGAAGTGTTGGTGATTGAAGGGATTGAGTTTGAGAGAAATGACGCAGTGAAGTTCGACGTGTTTGTTAATGATGAAGATGATAAGGTTATTAGGCCAGATGATACAGAGTTCGCAGGAAGTTTTGTAAGTGTGCCTCACACGCATAAGCACAAGAACAAGAAAATTATAACATGTTTGAGGTTGGGGCTGACTGATTTGTTGGAGGATTTGGAAGCCGAGGACGATGATAGTGTTCGTGTGACTTTGGTTCCGAGGTATGGGAAAGGGAGTGTCACAATCAGAGGCATAAAGATTGAGCTTCTTGCAGACTGAGATTTCTCAAGAGCTTAGCTTGATGGTGAATATTCATGGTGGCTCGCTCCGATTGGTTTTTTTTAACAGTTTATTTTCCTTACTTTTTTTTTTGGCAGCTAAAATCATTAAACTTCACGATGTAAATTTTAATGTCCACATAAGATGGCACGTGAGACCTTTTCATGAGAATAAAAGAAAGTTGGCTCGTCTATAATTTGTAGGATGAATAGATTTTAATTTTTTTTTGTTTTATTGGTATGAATTATAAAATTATTTAGTTGACAAAATAGACCATTACCATGTATAGATGCAGAAAGATCCCCGCACAAGAATTTCTATATAAGGCTGTTGTTGGCATTTCTGTCCTCTAAACGTGACTATTCCTTGGTCCTAAAAGTCTCAACGGGATTTGAGAAATTACTTTTTTCAAAACAACTTTACATATTAAATCAATATTTTAACCAGTTTAACAAAATGATAACTTGTTTAAACACGGTTCAATTACAATTTTAACTATCAATCTTCGAATTAATACTTTAACCAGTTTAATGATAGTTTGGATTACGGTATCTACTTTCAAATATTTGTTTTTTGGGCCAATATCTACTTTCAAACATGAATATCAAGGTTTATGATACAAGATATGCAAACTAAGGCTGACTTGAAATGGGTTTTAAGACAAAAATGCAACCCAGAAACGTAGAACTTGACAAGGAAACAAAAGTTTGAGGTTACACGTAATTCCATAGGCACCATTCAACTTGATATTATAGTGGGAGGATGACAGTTAAGCCCGAAATGAGTGAATTAATAACAGTTAGGTTTTCAATACAATTTTTTACAAAATAAATTATAAATATTAATTCAAATAGTTACAAACAGAAATTCATGTTATAATCTAAGAATTATATTTGATACTTAAATACTTATTTGTAATTAAAATCTTTAGATTTGTAATTATTTGGATTGATATTTTCAATTTATTTTTGTAAAAAATTTGTCAATGACTTAATTGTTACTAGTTCAATGTTTTGGGACCTAACTATCATTTTTTATAAATAATATCTAAGTGAAATTAGAAGATAATAAACCAATAGTGGCTAGTTTAAGAATGGTAATGCACAGTTTCATAAAAAAAATAGCTCACCTAATTAAAGATTTATGAATTTTGATGTTTGACCAACAAAGATTATGAATTCAAAATCTATAAATAAAAAGTTGTGTTGACAAAATTATATTCACATAAAACTTGACAATGCTTGAACTTTTGAAACGATGATTGACACTATTGTCGAATAGCATCAAAATTAATAAAAACTAAATTTTACAAGAAAACGTAACCTAGGTTATCTCTTTAAGACTTAATAGAGTAATTATTTAAATTATGATTATGAAAAGCTAAAAAGTGGGGGGATTTTTTTGTAATGAAATTAATTAAAAAATCTAAATTAAAATTAAATAAGAAAAGAAAATTCAACTGAGAAAATTATCAAAAACAAGTAACGCAATCAATTACAACCCCAATCATCTAAACTTAATTTTCCTTATCCACAAAATAAATCAATTTTATTTAACTTTATTATTCTAATTTTATTATTTATTTCTCAAATTATCATTCAAGAATTAAGCAAAAAATTAAGTTATAGATTAATTAAGATCTTCTTTAACTCATAACCTAACAACTGTTTCATGTTAGTCATACCATAAACAAAGTATGGATAATCACTTAAGTTAGGCTAAATTACTCTTACAATGCTATATCAATTGATTATAGCAAGGAAAATCTCATATAAAATTTGTAAAGCAAAAATTATGCAAAAAAAAAACTTTAATCAGTAATAACAGTTAAAGTATAAAATTCAGAAGCAGAGAGAAGAAGAGTAAATTGAAATAAAGCTAAAATAAAATCTTCTTTAAATATTAAAGACTAATTAAAATTTAAGATCATAGTAATCACACTAAGAAAAATAACTATTCATAGAACTAAAAATTAAACAACATGAGGTGACAAAAAAAGAAGCCATCACCTAAAAGAATTGGAGAATAGAAAAAGACGACGATCACCACAGCTCCCCGTTCCTTCTCATCTCTATTATGCTCCGCACTCTCTTTCTTTCTTTCGTCTCCGTAAAAGTTGTGTGTTGCTTTTGCCTTTTATATTAGAAGTCATGTGTTGTGTGTCGTACGTCTCTTCCTGACTAAATAATTTAATAAAAAGATAAAATTGCCTTAAATAACCCTAAATGAAAACTATACTAAAATATCCAAAAAAATAAAAAATAATTTTTCAAATTTAATTCTTGATTTTATCTTTAAGTATGCTCATATTCTTCTCATTCAAAATAATCTCTATCAATATCTTATAAATTGAATCTAGAAGATCTTCACAAATAAAATAAAATTAAGTAGCAACTGTGCAAAAATATTGAAGATATCATTTATGTTTTAAAATCATAAATTTAGATAGTTAGAATCCCAAAACTGAATATTGACTAATAAAATTAAATAATATCTAATTAAACTTAATTAGCTTCAAATAAATATTTAAAAGTCTAAATTGAAAGGATTAAAAATATATAAAATTATCATTTATCAATTCCCCCACACTTAGACTTTTGCACTATTGGGCAAAACTTAAATCTCAAAATTCAAGAAAAGAAATGTGGAAGCAACAAAGAATAAGAAACAATCATAACTCTTCAACATTTTAACACTTTAATCAATATCTCTTATATCCAGAATAAAAAGTATCATGATAATTTTATTTGGTAAGAATAAACCAAGCAATAGCCCCTCACAAAGGTCAAGTGTTTAACTTTCAACTCTTGAATATATATAGCAAGTGTTTCACTCAAGTTTTCCTATCAAAACCTTACTACCATAGGCTTGTATCATCTAGGTCTTTACTATCTATATCATAAGCAATGCAAGAATCAATAGGACTTTATTTTAGATTGTAATAGGGCTTAGGTAAAGGTATAGTATATAAAAATGAAAGCTAATAAACTGTAAGAAAATAAAAAGCATATTTGAAATGAAACATATAGAATGAAAGAAACAAAATAAATTGAATTGGGTTTATTTTTCTCTCTTTGTTTTGTTTTCCTTTCCTTTGTTTCATGCCCCCCCTTTTTTTTTTGCTTTTTGCGTTCTGCCTTTTATACTCTTTCTTTTCTTTTTTTCTTCCTTCCTTCCTTCCTTTTTTTCTTTCTTTGCCTTTTGGCTCCCTCTCTTTTTTTTTTCAAAATAACCCAAATCTCTCTTCAAGCATATTCTTTTATTCCAACAAATATTATGATGCATTTTTCATTGTCTAAAGTGGGGTGAGAAAAATAAAGGAAAAAGATTTTTATAGGTTATGTTTTTAGTTGGCTAAAATTTTAAAGAAATGTTTTAGACTCAAAGGGGCTAACAAGGGATCAATTGCATGATAAGATGTCTATTTGGCTAAGTAGGCTAAAAGAAAAGAATGTCTAAATCATCTTCATGCAAAGTATATGCAATTATAGTTTCAATTAAGAATCAAAACAAGTTCTAGAGTGGGAGTAGTGATAGAAGAATACACACAAAAAGAGAATACTATTAGGCCCAAATCCTCACAAGCTAAAGACTATCACATTAATTCATTGAAACCAAATTCATTACCACTTAACTTGAATTTTAAATATAAGATCAATTACTTATTATGCTTAAATGCATCCAAACCAAAATTGTCTTAAATTTGTAACTTTGCATAATTTTTTTTCAAGAAAACAAGAACACAAATAATAAAAACGGAAATAAGAAAAAAAAATAAAAAAAAACAAAATAGCCAAAACCTCCCCCCTGCACTTAAAATTTACAATGTCCTCAATGTAGAACATAGTCTAAAAGATATATTGGAAAATGTAAATTAAAAGTGAAGAGAAGGGATATAACCTGATCGATTAAATGTTATCTTGGAGGAAAAACTCCTTCATAATGTCTGTCTTGAATTCATCATAAAAATATTTTAATCAGTGCCTGTTAACTTTAAACTTTGCTCTAGTAGACTTTGCCATAATTTTTACTCCACCATAAGAAAATACTTTAGTAACTATAAAAGGACCTTCCTATCTAGAATAAAGTTTTCTTGGCATAAGTTTCAATCTAGCATTATAGAACAATACTTTTTGTCCCACTTTGAACTCTTTTCTAATTATCAGCTTATCATGCATCAACTTGGTGTTTTCCTTATAGATCTTGAATTTTCATATGCTTCCAAGTGAAATTCTTCAAGCTCTTGCAATTGATATTTTCTTTGAGCTCCTACTTTAGTCAAATCCATGTTATATTGCTTCACTACCCAATAAGCTTTATGCTCAATCTCTACAAGTAAGTGACAAGCTTTCCTAAAAACAAGCCGATAAGGAGACATTTTGATCGAAGTCGTATAGGCAGTTCTGCATGCCCATAATACATCATCAAGTCTCTTACTTTAGTCCTTCCTATTGGGTTGCATTGTCTTTTCAAGAATTTGCTTCATCTCTTGGTTAGAAACTTCATCTTGCCCATTAGTTTGGGGGTGATAAGGGATAGTTATCTTATGCACAACCCCATACTTACCTAACAAACTCTGCATGCTTTGATTACGAAAATAGGTCCCTTGATCACTGATAATAATAGCCTTTGGAATACCAAACCTGTAAAAGATATGTGACTTAACAAAATTTACAATAATAACAGAGTCATCAGTTCTGGTGGATTTAGCTTTCACCTACTTAGAAACATAATCAACAGTTAGTAAAATGTAAGCAAATCTAAATGACATAGGAAAAGGTCCTATGAAATCAATATCCCACACATCAAATATTTCATAGAAAAGTAAAGGTTGTTGAGGAATCTCATTTCTACGGGAGATATTTCTTGTATGCTAACATCTAGCATAATGCTTACAAAATGTATATGCATCATGGAATAGAGTAGGCTAATACAATCCCCAAGAACTTTTCTAGTAGTGCGTTGTGGACCAAAGTGTCCTCCACAAGCAAGTGTGTGACAAAAATGCAATATGAATTCAAATTCAATGTCAGGAATACATCTCCTAATAATTTGGTCACTATATATGTGCTAAAGGTATAGATCATCCCAAATGAAATATCTAGCTTCTCTCTTAAACTTATCTAATTGATATTTCTTTAAATGCACAGGCAATACAGAGGTAGCTAAGTAATTAACTAAGTCAGCATACCAAGGAGTAACATTATACATAGCATA